TCAATAGTGAGAAACGATATATGTATACTGTAACCGCCGTCCGGGTGGTTAAAGTCAAACGTGTTGAAAGTCTAGAGAGAAGCCAGGTTAGGTGTTGCCTCTAAGATATGGGTAGCTATACTGAAATGCCCACCCGATAGCCTGGCCCCCTGGCTGGTCGCGTATGGCTGAGTCAGGTGATTATAATTACACAAACAAATTCCCTTCACACACTCCAACCTCTTTCTGGGCCTCTCATCTCCACCATCTTCATACTCTACATACTGCATAAGGGCAGGCACACCCAATAAACATGACATGACTTACCCTAACATAATGTTTGTTTATATGTCGCCCTACTCATTGGCAGGCACACCCAATAAACATGACATGACTTACAGCCTAACATAATGTTTGTTTATATGTCGCCCTACTCATTGGCAGACACACCCAGTAAACATGACATGACTTACCGCCTAACATAATGTTTGTTTATATGTCGTCCTACTCATTGCTGTTTGCGGTAACATATACACTCTCCTCGATTTACGACGGATTCCGTTCCGACGACCAGGTCGTAAGTCAAAAAGGCTAAAATAATACAGAGAAATTCTAAAATGGGTGTCTAATTTTCTTCTCGGCACCACGAGAACTCTCACTTTTACGCTTGCCATCCATTTTAAACTCTCACTTTTACGCTTGCCATCCATTTTAAACTCTCACTTTTACGCTTGCCATCCATTTTAAAGGGAAGTACAGAAGAAAAACTTTGTCAGTACACAGCGCGATCACTAACGTCAGTACTAGAAAATACGTAATTTGAAAAATATTTCATACAACCACGGCGGACGTATGTCAAGGGTTGTCATAAGTCGACTATGTCGTAAATCCAGGAGTACCTGTATTGTGTCTTCAATAACCAGCTGTTGCAGGCTATGGAGCCGTACATCAAGGTGTATCACGACAAAATCAACACTAGCCGTCAACGTAACATCACGGACTTCTTCGCCCGCAACCCACCACAACCACCCCAAGTCAGTGATAGTGACAGTGATGCTATGGACTTTGAGAGATTTGTCAGGGAGGCCCTGACAACTATGGTGGATAGTGATGGTGATTCACCTGAGGGCCAGTAATCTGCCCTCTGCCTCGGAACCAGCCTCCATCCCAGTATGCCGACCCATCTCTTCTACTAACATAAGTGTTAAACCTAACCTAACCTTGATTTTTTCTAACCTAACCTTACGTAAGTGTTAAACCTTGATTTTTTTTCTAACCTAAGTGTTAAACCTTGAATTTTTCTAACCTAACCATAAATAAGTGTTAAACCTTGATTTTTTCTTACCTAACCTAACGTCAGTGTTAAACCTTGATTTTTTTCTAACCTAAGCTAACTTTACGTAAGTGTTAAACCTTGATTTTTTTCTAACCTAAGTGTTAAACCTTGATTTTTTTTCTAACCTAACCTTACGTAAGTGTCAAACCTTGATTTTTTCTAACCTAGAGTAAGTGCTACACCTTGAGTTTTCTTTTACCTGGTACAGTATATTATTCTCTTATTGATATTTCTCTTCTATATTAATTGTGTGCATACCATCATAAAGTTAAGATACTATTTTTATTACAACGTACATATTGTGTCGGAAAAAGTGGAGTTTCGGGGTCAGCCCAGTCTCTCAATTAATCCCATATGTTCTGTTATTTCCTTTACGCGTTTATCATTTTACACGGTACTCCACGGGTTCAATTGACCGCGTAAATGAAGACCCGACTGTAATGTAAATATATTATTTGTAATTTTGATATATGATTGTTGCGTTACGGAGCTGTGCCCCATACTTTGTAAAAGTCTGTGCCCAAAAAATTTGTTTGTCTGAAAATTTGGTGCAATTGTACAAATTTCTTCTGGGGGCAAACTGTCTCCTCCACCTTTACCAAAAATTCAACTTTTCCCGTTATGATTGTTAGGTGTGTGCGGGGATTAACCTCAAACACTAGTTATTTCTGGCAGATAAGAATATCAAATTCGTTCAAAACTCATCAAATACCATAGGAAAAACCTATTTTTAATATCAAAATAACGACCGGTAAAATACTACCCATTCCACCAAAAGTAAACAAGACATATGGCGATACTTGTAACTGGGCGAACGTAATAATATTGAAAAATTAATATTTTGGTTTTATTCTCAATTTTCGGTGAAAATATCAAAGAAAAATTTCTTAAATTTGTCTAAAACAATACGAAATACATATTAATAACAGTGAGAGACCGGTGTAATACTATAAATGTATAAAGAAAGTCCTATACAACTTACTTTGATCAGATGTTGAAGTTCTTTTTTCTCAGGGCAAGCTTTCAGTGTGAAACATATTGGCCCACCATGCAAGCTCATAAATAGCTCTTTTATTCTGCCAGACATCTTGAATAGGGTGATCACACAAAGGTTTGTTATTACGAGTATGTTGATCACAGTTGAGGGGAAGTCAACACGTGGTTCTGTCACCTAAGTTGCTGAACGAATGTTTGTGTTTCAAACATTTCAAAATAACAATACAGGCTGTATTATTACACACCGTTTTCTCATCCGTTTAATTTTAAAGTAATATTTATATTAAATATTTTGTTCTTTTTTTCTAAATAGTTATATGAATTGAGAAGAAAATCATTTGAATATTTTCTTAATGAAATGCAATACCAGGCAGTTAGTCGGCAGTGCAAAGTCTTCTTAGCTCTCCACCTGTCTCCCACACATTTATGGAGTGATACTGTAATTATATATACATCTCATTTATAAAAAGTTAAAATATATAAATTTAATTGTTTTTTTTTAAATATATTTTTCAAACATTTGCAAGTAAGGTTAAAACCAAATTTCAGATACAAAAATATGAAAATTTCTAGAAATACTCTGGGTCGAAACTCCTGTAGAACTGGTAACACTGTAGAGGAGCAAACGGACACTAGTAGCATTGGTAACACTGTATCGGGACACAGGACTAACTCCTGGTGTATTGTCAACATTGTGGTGGGATGTGGTGGGAGTGTTGGAAGAGTGTCAACAACAGGAGGTCGTTGGCAAGAGGTAAAGTGAGGCATGAGAGAGTGGTGGCAGGAGGGTGATCTACCGTAAGAAGCTATAGTATAAAACACAACACAGTTAACAAGTGTTGGCAGGAGTGTTGGCAGACGTATTGACAAGTATTAGACGATTATGGGCAGGTATGTTGATAGATTTGTTATCAGGAAGTATGAGAGGAGTTTAGGGTGACTGGAGTGCTGAAGAGGAGTGAAAGGAGTGGTAGTGGAGTGTGGAGTGCTGAAGGGGAATGACAGGAGTAGTGGTGGATTAAGGAATGAGTGGAGTGCTAAAGGGAAGTGGCAGGAGTTGTAGTGGAGTGTCGAGTGATTGGAGTGCTGAAGGGGAATGACAGGAGTCGTAGTGGAGTTTGGCGTGCTGAAGAGGAATGACAGGAATTGGTAGTGGAGTGCGGAATGATTGGGATGCTGAAGGGGAATGGCAGGAGTCGTAGTGGAGTGTGGAGTGCTGAAGGGAAGTGAGAGAAGTGGTAGTGGAGTTTGGAGTGACTGGAGTGCTGAAGGGAATGTCAGGAGTTGTAGTGGAGTGTCGAGTGATTGGAGTGCTAAAGTAATACATGTTGGTTGGAATGAAAGTTTACAGGTGTTCAGGGAAAGAAGTCAGGAAAGGTGATTGGAGGAGTGTTGGCAGGATTTTAGAGGAGTGTTAATAGAAATATTTATGGTTGTTGGAAGTAGTGTTGGGAAATTGGAAGCAGTGTTGGCAGGAGTGTTGGCAGGTACAGTGAGTGAAGAGTCAACAGTCAGAAAAGAATACAACATGTGCACATTTACCCGTCGTGTAGTGAACCTTAAACACCCGGGGAGGAAATACACGACCTCTCCCCTACAACACCCTCACTGTTTCGTCCTCTACCTCTCCCTCTACTTTTACCTCTACTTTTACCTCTACCTCACCATGTACAGGATTTGTTTATGGCGTCGTAAATCTCTCATGACATACTGGAGTTCTTTGCCGGTCAGTTGATGCCAGAAAGGAACCAACTCCGAACTTGTTATGATCCATAGAGCAATATATAGGAAGGTTGGTCATCAACTACTGCTTATGTCTTGTTCCTGAGTGAGAACGTGACTGTCAGTATAGTGGCAGAGGTGTTGAGAGACGGGCATTATCTCCCCGTCTGACTCACAGCAATACAGACTGAAGAAGAAAACTACCATCAATGACCCTAACTGATGATCACCTTGTTACCGTGAGTAATTACTACACTTTCTCCATCACCTCCTGAGACTCATTCACAACATCGGCAAATGAGGTAATTTTCCCACAAATTAAAAAAAAAAAGTTTAATTTTCTTCTAAAAGTAAAACAAGATATCGATCTTTCTGGTGATGTAAATGTACTGTACGCAGGGTTGGAAAAAATCATGATATTTAGAAAAAAATAAAAAAAAATCGATAGATGATCCTGTGGTCACTTCCCAGAGCCAAGTGCTCTCTCCTCGAATTGGAGCTGACAAAGAAGACTTTGAGGAGGTGACGCAACAACCCTGAGTGTTTTACCTCCTCCCGGACTGCGGGTATATAAGCATGTATTTATATCGACCTTTTATGATAAATATTTTAACTTTTCTCATCCTCTCTGAAGTGCCAATGACTTGAAATCATCTGCATTTTGATAGTCCAGATATTTAACATTATTTTAGATAATAACAGGTCTGCTTACCAATTGTGAACACATTTAGTTTGAATTTTCTATGAACCAATCAGCTATTAGTATAGAAGAGGGGCATGGCTTATGGGTCAGGCTAGTGTGAAAATACGAGTATACAGTATTCAGTGTGCTGAAAGTTTGTATACAGTTTCATGATATGGATTCATGGATAATCTTATTGCAATTTTTGAGATATTACAGTAATAACAAATATTTTTTCATGAGTGGAGATTCCTGTCTTAGATAATTTGTTTTTGTTTATTCCAGGCGTGCGGCTGTTGTCGTCGCAGGCCCTGGAGATGCCAGCTTGCGAGTATGAACCTCCCCCTTACAAAGTAGGACACAATTTGTTCTTAGCATTGATCACTACACACAGTTTATGATCATGAAGATAATCTCTGATCCATGTTGGTACATTTCCCTGAATTCCGTATTCTTCCAATTTATGGTAACTTACAGCTTTTATTAGGGTGCACTACTACACTATAGTATCAAATGCTTGGCAAAGTTAAGCTATAAACAGTAGTCAGTATTGCCACCACCAGGGTTGGAAAAAATCATGATTTTTAAAAAAAAATAAAAAAAAATCGATTTATTTGATTTAAATCGGATTTTTTTATTAAATCGATTTTTTTTATTTTTTTACTAATTGCAATAAAATAGTATTTTTAAACCATAAAAACAGTATTTTTCAACCAAAGCTTATTCAGGATAATAAACAGAAAATTGGCATTAAGATATTTATGCAGTAGATGTACCAATGGAATTTAACACAATATTCTTTTTGTAAAATAAAAGAAAACTGGTAACATATCTTACATTTGAGTGCACAAATCCAAAGGTAATAATGAAATTTAACATAAATGCTCTTATAGGATTACAGTGTTTCAAAAATTAATAACTTAACTTCTTCAAGTCAACAGAATAATATTCTCATTTTGTAAAAAAAATAATACTGGTAACAAGTTTATTTTCTTACATTTGTAGGATTATAGTGTATTAAGAATTACCGGTAATAACTTCAAGTCAACACAATATTCTCATTCTGTAAACTACAAAAATAGTTCAAAACATTTAAATTAGCTTAGTTGAACATTGAAATGCTTATGTACTTTTATCTCTTCGCCACTGATCGGCTTGTTAGCCGCTTGGGCGATCGGTCACGACTCTTTTCCTTTATATTCTTCACCAAAAGGTCGGCTCGCTAGCCGCCCGGGCGATCGGTCACGTCTCTGTCACGCACTGTTGGCAAATACTGGGCATGCACCGGCTCCTGAATGTACCTGAACCCGCTCCAGTGTTGGTCAAGTCTTCTCTTGAAAGAGCTCACACTCGGTGCCGTCACAACACTTTCTGGTAGATTGTTCCAAGAGTTTACAACCCTCACTCCGAAAAAGTTTGCCCTCACGGTTTTCCGGACTTGCGGCTTCTTCAATCTTGAGCTGTGACCCCTTGTGGGGCGAGCGTCCGCCAGCTCCAAGTAAGGACACTCAACTGAGTAGTGCCCCCTGAGATGCTTATAAACCTCAACTAGGTCCCCCCTTGCCCGTCTGTAGTATAAGCTAGGCAAGTTCAGGCGCTCCAATCTCGCAGGGTAGCTGAGATGCCGAAGTGCAGGCACCAGCTTGGTGGCCCTCCTTTGAACATTTTCAACCAACTGACAGTCCCTAGCATATCTCGGGGACCAGATGGGGTGACAGTACTCCAGATGGGGAAGCACTTCACTCCTGAAGATCGTCACGAGGGACGGACCGTCTAGATATCTGAACGACCTTCTTATAAGACCCAATAATTTATTTGCCTGATTTACCTTCTTCTCACAATGGCCCGAGAACTTCAGCTCATTGTCAACATACACACCTAGGTCCTTCTCACACACAGTCTCAACTAGTACATTTTCTTCATCCCGTTGGGACATATGGTACGCCTCCTTACCGTTGGTACGCCCCAGGTGCATCCTCTTACACTTCGTGACATTGAATCTCAGCAGCCATTCCTTCGACCATTCCTGGAGCCCACAGAGGTCCTTCTGCAGCTCTTCACAGTCCGCTTGGTTCTTAATTTCCCGAAATAACTTGGCGTCATCGGCAAACATTTGTATGGAGGAGTGTACAACGTCAGGCATATCATTTATGAAACAAACAAACAACAGCGGGCCCAATACACTACCCTGCGGTACCCCACTTGTTACAGGTACAGATGACGATTTCGTGCCATTAATCACCACACATTGCTTGCGGTCATGTAGAAAGTCTTCTATCCACGCTAGGACATTTCCCCGAATTCCGTACCCTTCCAGTTTGATTTTCAGCCTTTCGTGGGGTACACTGTCGAAAGCCTTGGCAAAATCTAGGTAAATATTGTCGATATTACCACCCCGTTCTAGAATATGGGTCCAAATATCCAATACCTTGAGCAATTGTGTCAAGCAAGAGCGCCCCGGCATAAAACCGTGTTGGCAATCTTTTACAAGGTTGTTTCGTAGTAGATGTTCCATCGCTGCATCTCTGATAATACTCTCAAGTACTTTACATATTATGCTGGTCAGGCTCACCGGTCTATAGTTGTTCGTGGAGTGCCTATCGCCCTTCTTGAAGATAGGACTCACATAAGCCACTTTCCATTCACTGGGGACCATTTGTTCATCCAGGCATTTACAAAACAGAATCTTCAGGGGCTCTGCAAGCTCGTTGCACAGCTCCCTTAGCACTCTAGGATGCACCATGTCAGGTCCAGGACTCTTATGGACCTTTAGCCTGGACAGTTTATTTCTAATACCCTCTTCTGTGAACACAATGTGGGTCAGTGCTGTGTCGAACCGTCTGTCCTCAAACGCAGGAAGGTTAGTTGCATCCTCTCTTGTGAACACTGAGGAAAAGAAGCTGTTCAATGCCTCAGCTTTATCCTGGTCAGAATCTGCGTAACTACCATCTTCAAGCCTCAGGTCTGATACTCCTACTCGCGTTTTCAATTTCGACTTTGCATAGCGGTAAAACGCCTTTGGGTTTGACTTGACCTCGCGTGCAACCAGCCTTTGGAACTCCTTTTCAGCCCTCCTACACTCTATCTTTGCTTGGTTTCTGGCTCTTGCATACATCCTCCTGTCTTGCTCATCGTTTGACCCAACCCACGTCTTGAATTTCTGGGTTTTCTTCTTAATTTTGTCGACCGCCGCATGGTTCATGTGTAGGGATCCCCTCGTATTCCTAGAAGCACTGGGTTTGGTCTTGGGTATATATTTATCGATCAAATGGGTCATTTTACTAGTTATGATATTCAGCGTAGTGTCTGCGTTCTTGTACCTTAATAAGTCAGGCCAGTTGATACCCCTCATCTCTTCCCTCATCCCATTGTAATTTCCCTTGTAATATTTGCACCTTGGCCTGGCCTTATCTTGAACTAGGTAACAGTTAAATCTGAATGACAACACTGTATGGTGACTGGTGCCAACTGGGGCAAGGTGTTCCAGTTTGGCCACCATACCCTCCTCGTTTGTTATGATGAGGTCAAGTGGCTTGGGTGTTTGTTCCCCTCTGTAATGTGTCGGGTCTCTCACATGTTGGAACAGAAAATTATCTCTCAGAGTTTCTACAAAAAGAGTAGCAGGATTATTCAAGTCATTCGGGGTTGACTCGTTTCTCCAGTCGATGTCGCCATAGTTAAAGTCCCCCATGATAAGGAGGTGGCTGGGGTTGAGCATCGCCGCATTGTTTATTAAGGTTCTTAAGTTCCTTTGATTTAGTGGGCCACAGTTCGGGGATCTGTAGATACACCCGACGATAAGTAAGTCCCCTCCCTTTAATTTAATTTTACACCACTTGGACTCTTCAAAGACATCCTCTCCCTGTACCCTCGCCTGGCTGGCTCTAAGGTCTTGCCTAGCGTAGATAACCACACCCCTCCTGCAGGATTCTTGAGTTAGGTTCGTAAATGAGTCATATCCAGCAATACTGAACTCGCATTCCTCTGGGTCGATTCTCCTGTTCTTGTACAACAGTTCTACAACTCCTACAATATCTGGTTGGTGTACTCTTAGTAGTGTTTCAAACTCCTCCCTCTTATCCAGGAACGTGTCGGTATTAGTGTACATGACATTCAAGCCAGAATTTGTTCTCGGTAACGTCTCTGCTCTTAGTAATAAACCCGCTCCACCCACATTCTCAGAAGCTGCAGCATTTGCTAAGTACACTGTATTTTGCAGGGTGTGGTTAAAAATTTCATTGTTTACACGGCGCTCGTTCCCTCCTGTCCGGTAGGCTGAGCTGGTGCCGCCTCCCGGGTGGGGGGTTGAGTGGGTGGAGGGTGCACTGCTGCCCCCTGGCCCTGTGTCGGCACACTTGTTTCCACTACCCTCCCCCTGAGTATAACCCATGTGCACCTGTCCCCGTTCCTTCTCGACTCCTCCCTCCTCTGCTTCAAGTCCAGCAGGAGCTTCTTGTGCTGTTCCCTCTGCATTACCGTGCGGTCTGGGTGAATAAATACATCTCGAAATGCCTCGCTCCTTGCTAAGTTTTTTGCCTGCCGGATAACTTGCCATTTTTCCTCCTCACTCCCTAATGTGATCCTGAGGGGGCGAGGCTTAGCCCCCTGCTTTTGTCCCAGTCTCCTCACATCCTGAGGGGTTGCTGGAATCTTCAGAACCTCTGTGCAAATATTTTGAAACAGCACCTTGTCGTGTGTTTCCTTACTCACAGTTCCCTCTGCCTGGCTCTCTGGGACTCCAAAAACTATTACATTGTTCCTGCGCTGGAGCCGTTCCTGGTGTTCCTCCTCTCCCCTAACAGTAGGTCCGTTAATTTTCATTTCTTCGACACACTTTTTCAGAGTCCCAATCTGCTGTAGAACCTGTACTGATTCTGCATTACTCTCCGCCCCCCCCACCCGTGGCCCTCCTAATACGTCCGCATAGCTCCTCTTAGCAACCACCTCCATTCTATTAGCTACTTCCTCAGTCTTAGCAAGGATCTCTTTCTCAACTTGCTCCAGTTTGTCAACCAGCAGGGCTCCTGCTTCATCTATTTTCGTCCCTAGAGAACTCGTTCCCTTATGGATTGCAATCGCTTCATTCACCTTGACTATGCAGCCAGGGCAATACCAGCAACAGCCATCAAGCTTTACGGCAGTTAGTAACTTCCTAAACGTTGCATTAGTTAGGCCTGCATCCTCCATATCCGACGTCTCCCTGCAGTAATCACATACCAAACTCATGGTTGTTGTTGTTGTGGGGGGGGTGTAGACTGTGTATAGATCTACACCTATTTCAAAGAAAATAAAGAGAGAAAAAAGTACTTAGCTACTCTCTGTTGCTCTCTGTGACAAGCTTAGATGCCTTTTCCTGTCCTAGGCGATTTATTACCTTTGAGTGAACAAATCCTTATGTGGAAAAAATTCTCTCAACCCCTGCTGATGATCCATTACATTTTCTGTCATATCATTGGCAAAATACTGCCACCAAGCAAGGGGTGAGAGAGATTTTACAACATCTTTACCAAAATAGACCTCTTTAAATGGTGCACTTCTTCCATGGAAGGACATTAATGTTGAAAGGAATGTGGAAGAGACGCGCACACATACTGTTCTGCAATGTCTCGCTGCTCAGGAGTCAGTTGTCTGCCCTGATACGTTGGATCTATCACATTAGCTTGAAAATGGGCAGGTGTCAATGCTACTTTGATTCTTTTATCAAAATTATCCATATCCTTCTTATCTTTTAAATACTCCTTAATATCAGTTTTCAGTTTTACCCAGATTTCAACAGCATCACTTAATAGGGTATGTTCTCTGGACACAGTACAGTGCCACAGCAATAGGCTTAAGTCTCTCTAAATAGTCTTCTGCAGTTCTTTTTAATGCCTTATCATTAACTTTCCTTTTAATTTTCTTATCAATGTCTTCAATATTTTCTTTGCACACTTTGACAAGGGTCTCCCAGTTCTTTAAATAAGATTCAATATAATCTGTCACTGTTCCATCGTGTGTCTGATGGCATTACTAGCAATGTTCCTCCTGCTCTTCTATACAAAGATCCTGGGATGTGAGGATTTCTGAAGCACTTAATGATTTCAGTAATGTGCTCCTTAATGTTCTTGATTTGCAGGTCTTGTGAAAGCAAATTTAACAGGTGTGCAGAGCAACCATATGTTATAATGGATTTATCTTGTCCGAATTCACTTCTCATTTTTGCCATATTAGCAGCATTATCTGTTACACAGCTTACTGTGCATCTAAATTTGTCTTCACACTTTTTTGTAGCACATTCAGCTAATTTCAACAGATATTCAGCTGTGTGTCTTAATTCTGTGTCTATAGAGTCAACAAGATAAATACGGTTGTCCGCTGTTAAAGTTATACATACTATAGGCTCATTATGGACATTACTCCATCCATCCATGGCCATGCAAACTGTTTTCCCACTAAGTTCTTCTGAATAATTCTTAATCACTGAATCGTAGGCTTGATCCAAAAGAGACCCTCCAATTTGATGTCTATTAGGTGGAACATATCCTGGTCTTAGCATTTTAATCATCTTGATACTCTCCGTGCTCCACTGTTCGGAAGGGTCAATTTGTTGCATATATATAATTAGCAACTTGCTGATCCAAAGTGACTTTTTCAGACTTAGTAGTTTTTATCACAAAACCAGTTATGCTTCTTTGATCAGAAATAATACTTATGTTGTTTAAAAAGAACATACTAAGTGATAAAAATAGAATATCTGAATATGTATAGCCTGGTGCCTACAGCCTGTTCACTCGAGCTTTGCAAAAATTTACAGTCCCTTGCTCCTTATTGACTGATATATAATGCCGGGAGAAGAGAATACTACAGTTCTTCTGAATTTCAATAGTATTTATTATCTTAGTTAACAATATATTTCATGTAAATATATACATTAATAATGAGACCTTATGATATGATCAAAGTTTCGCAAAACTGGAGAGAACAGACTATAGTACAGTACATAATTATGTAAATCCAAATAATGTTATTAGCCTGCTGCATTGCATATACTTTTCAATCATGTAGAATAAAAAGAGAAAACAGTTATTAGTAAAAAAATCATTTTGATTTAAATCATGATTTTTTTACTCTGATTTAAATCGATTTAAATCATGTGATTTAAATCATTTGATTTAAATCATAACAACCCTGAGTCCACGGACTAGGAAGTGACAATACATACATCCAATATCTCTTGTGTAGTTGCTGCATTAAACAGGTGTGTACATGTAGTCATTAATCTGTTCAAGTCAACCAGTTCTCCCAAGTATTCCAGTGTTTGTCTTCTTATGACATTGTATATAATGATCTCTCCAACTGTGGATGTTAGTTGTTTTGGATCACCTGAAGAATCATCACCCCAGCTTATTTCACCTGAAGATTAACTGCCTTAATGCTAACTTAACCTAACCTAAACCTATTCTATCCTAATCTAAATCTAACCTAACATATCCTAACCAAACCTCATCCTCCCAAAATAGTTTTAGGGTGGTTTAATCTATAAGTGAAATAAGCTGGGGCGATGATTCTTCAGGTGATCCGTTGTTTCTGGTATACAGTACAGTATATATTTTTTAAATCAGGAAGATCATTTGTAATCACCCGATATACCTGTATATATATATATATATATATATATATATATATATATATATATATATATATATATATATATATATATATATATATACTGTGTGTATATATATATATATATATATATATATATATATATATATATATATATATATATATATATATATATATATATATATATATATATATATATATATATATATATATATATATATATATATATATATATATATATATATATATATATATATATATATATATATATATATATATATATCATTTTCACTTTGTCGTTCATCTTTCCTTCCAGGGCCCAGATTATAACCATATACGACAAGTGAGGGGGAGCTTGCTCAACCCTGCCCTCCTCACAAACTTCAGTAGCCCACTTCTCATATATGATGGGTACATGCAATGGCTCTTTGATCACACTGGTAAAAGATACCTAGATCTCTTCGGAGGAATTGTTACCATCAGCATTGGACATTGTCATCCGTAAGTGCATATAATTTGTCTTTTTCTGTATACATTATATAGTATTGTACATATTAGAGTGTGTGTGTGCGTGCGCATGCGTGAGAGAGAGAGAGAGAGAGAGAGAGCACCACCATTTCAAGTCTCTGGCTAGGACTCTCCCATATTCCTGCAGGCAGCTTGCCCACATGCCCAGTGGGGGCTTATACTAGCTAAAAATTCTAACACCAGAAGGAAATGAGCCACCTCGTCTTTCTAGGTACTGTTGTCTGAGCTTACAATGTTTGCCAACAACTGTCTTAAGAGCGGCTTTGTGTGCACTGAAAAAATAGGATGGTGTAATCAGGCTTATCACAGTCGGTAACGCTCTCCATCACACCATGGGAAATATCTTCAGGGAGCCGCTTCACTGCTAGCACTATACTAACTAGGATTTGGAATCCCTCAAGGCTAAGCAGTAATTCATGCAGAAAGGACCTTCATCAACAATGACACTGAAGTAGTTGAATTAGACTTAAAAAATGCTTTCAACCAGACCAGTAGGGATAAGGTGATCAAAGCTTTCCATCACTGTTTCCACAGTTTTCTATCTTTTTTGGCAACGGAGTTCAGCAAGGAACCAACCCAACTGTTTGGTGAACATGAAATTACCATAAGCAGAAGGCATTCAGCAAGGGGATCCACTCACCCCATTGCTTTTTTTGTCTAATAACAAAAAAGCTCATAGACAATATGTTCAACGAACTCATTTTGTGGTTTTTGGATGACAGCACTCTGACAGGTTCAGCAGGTCTGGTTTCAAAGGATATCAGATGAGCGTTGAATCAAGGAGAAACCCTTGGCATCACCCCCAACACTTCTAAATGAGAACTCCATTAGTCGAGTGAGGAACATCTTGCTGGATGCCCTGTATCCTGCTCGGGTCAACCCTGAGTGCCAACATAATCCCTGCCATCCTCCAAAGTAAGCTGGATGACTTGAAAAGTAGAGAATAAAGGATAAATTAGCTGGATGCCCATGATGACGTGCATTTCCTAATGAAGTGCTTCTTTGTACCCAGACTGACGTACACCCACTAAAGAATTATTCAGTACCTGTGTCATATTGTATCACGCCGTAAAGGTGCCAAATAATTTTTTGGGGATGTACAGTAATGTTTGGTGTACAACATTACTGTACATAATACTTCAACATTAATGTACACCCAATAACAAATTATTCGGCACCCTTACGGCGTGATACAATGACACGGGTACCGAATAATTTTTTAGTGAGCGTACTTCCTCAGGTGCGCACTTGGCAGCCACATACTGTACTGGGAACAAGCTGTTTTCTTGGTCTGCCTGGGAGAAATTGGCAAAACTCGGATGAAGCCAATTTATTGAAATGGTAACTAAACTCACTGAATTATACTCATGGGGGCAAGATGTTTTAGACTGAAAGGTGTTACTTAATCTATTTAGAAGTTCGATATTAATACTGTATGTACTACAGTCTATAATAAATAGCCATAAATATTGTTTTATTGTCAAGAAAAAGTAAATGATTTACATTGTCAGGAAAGTTGTAGCTGCTGCCACAGAACAGATAAATAGACTTTGGCATACAACCAACATCTACCTGCACCCCAAGGTTCATGAATACGCAGAGCGGCTAACTCAGACGCTTCCTGGAGACCTCAAAGTGAGTTTCCAGTCTTCCATCTTTGTGTATATATTTAGCATTTTTTCTGGCATTTCATTAATATCTTAAAGTGTCTTGTACATTATATGTCACAGCTTATTGGCCTCAGTTCATTTAGTGTGAAATCTCCATATATGAATAAATGGCATAGGCTTTTTAAGGACATAACACCTATGAAACAATGAAGAGAAGCGGAGAAGCTCTTGTGTGAGAGGACTAATTGTTTTTGGAAAGGCAGCAAAGTTTTAAATTCAGGAAGAACCAATGTCAGGGATGCATTGAGATGTTGACAAGGACAACAGTGCGTAACAGAGACGTGACCGACCACCCAAGCTGCTAATGAGCTGATCAGTGGTGAAGATGGTAAAAGTAAAAGTAAAGTAAAAGAAGTACAGAGTAGTACAGTATTGTTGGTGTTCAGGGGCTGTTGGAGGGGTGATTAAATTCCTATGAGATATTGAAGTCCTTTTTAGACTAGTCCAGCCCAATATATGTATAGGACAGTACTTATTTACCTTGGGGTATTCTGGATGAAGGCATCAGGCTTGTATATTCAGATCTTAATCTACATGTGGGACAAAAGTAATTACTGTCCTGTATCCCTGTGTTTACTATCTCTCTAACCTAACTCCCACTTACCGGTAGCTTTCCGCCACTCCTCTCTTTATTCTCTTCTTCATTTATTTCCCATTTCTTAATCTTACATCATGTCTCATTACTCTTCACCCACTTTCACTTTTATCCTCTTCACCACTGATCGGCTCGTTGGCCGCTTGGACGGTCGGTCATGTCTCTGATATGCACTGTTGGCATTTACTCAGCATGCACTGGCTCCTGAATATATCGGAACCTGCTCCAGTGTTGGTCAAGTCTCGCCTTGAATGAGTTCACACTTGGTGCTGCTACAATGCTCTTCGGTAGATTGTTTCAAGAGTTCACAATTGTCACTCCCCCAAAATTTGCCCTCACACTTTTCTGGACTTGTATCTTCTTCAACCAGGTCCTTTTCACATTCGAACTCAATTAATGCAGTCTTTTTGTCCTGTTGGGACATGTGATATGCCTCCTTACTATTGATCTGACCTAGATGCATCCTTTTACATTTCATGACATTGAATTTTAGCAGCCATTTCTTCGACCATTCTTGAAGCTCATAGAGATCTTTCTGCAGCTCTTCACAGTCTGTTTGGTTCTTAATTTCCCTAAATAACTTAGCGTCATCCACAAACATTTGTATGGAGGAGTGTGTAGCTTCTGGCATGTCATTAGTGAAACAGACAAACAACATCAGGTCCAATACACTGCCTTGTGGTACCCCACTAGTCACAGGTACACATGACGATTTCGTATCATTTATCACCACACACTGTTTGCGGTCATGCAGAAAGTCTGATCCACGCTAGGACACTTCCCCAAATCCTGTACCCTTCCAGTTTAATTCTCAGCCTTTCATGGTACACTGCCTTGGCAAAATCTAGGTATATTTTGTCAATATTTCTGCCTTGTTCTAGAATTTAAGTCCAAATATCTAATACCTTAAGTAATTGCTTCGTAGTAGATGTTCCATCATGGCATCTCTTACGATGCTCTCTAGTACTTTGCACACTATGCTGGTCAGGCATTTGCAGAACAGGATCTTAAGGGGCTCCGCAAGCTCGTTAAACAGTTCTCTTAACACTCTGGGATGTGCCACATCTGGGTCAAAACTCTTGTGAATGATTAGCTTTGACAGTTAATTTCTTATACGTAACCTCGTCTGAGAACACAATGTGGGTCAGCTCTGTGTCAAACCGTATTTTCTCAAACGCAGGAAAATTGTTCGCATCATCTCGTGAACACAGAGGAAAAAAAAATTTCAGCGCCTCCACCTTATCCTGGTCAAAATCTGCATAACTACCATCTTCAAGCCTCAGGTCTGATATGCCTACTCACACTTTTAATTTTTACTTTGTGTAGCGGTAAATAGCCTTGGGTTTGACTTGACTTCACTCGCAATCTGCCTCTGGAACTCTTTTTCAGCCCTTCTACACTCTGACTTTGCTTGGTTCCTGGATCTGGCATACATCTTCCTGTCCTGCTCATTTTTTGTTCTAACCCAACTTTCGATATCCTGAGTTTTCTTCTTAACTTTGTCGACCGCCGCATGGTTCATGTGTAGCGGTCTCATTCCTGGAGGCACTGGGATTGGTCTCAGATATATATTTATCAATCGAATGGATTAATTTCCTTACTCTGATATTCAGCGAAGTGTCTGCATTCTTATCCCTCAGTAAGTCAGACTGGCTTATACTCCTCATCTCCTCCCTCATCCCATTGTAATTTCTTTTGTAATATTTGAACCTGGACCTGGTTTTGTCATGAATCAAGTGACTTATTAAATCTGAAGAACAACATTATGTGGTGACTGGTGCCAACTGGGACCAGGTGCACCAGACCGGCCATCATACCCTCCTCGTTAGTTATGATGAGTACCAGCGGCTTGGGTGTTTGCTCCCCTCTGTACTGAGTCGGATCTTTAACATGTTGGAATAGAAAATTGTTTCTCAGAATTTCTATGAAAAGAGTGGCTGGACTATTTAGGTCGTTTGGTGTGGATTCTTTTCTCCAGTCGATGTCGCCATAATTAAATTCCCCCCATGATAAAGAGGTGGCTAGGGTTCTGCGCTGTTACATCGTCAATTAAGGTTTTTAAGTTTGTATGCTTTAATACGCTACAGTTTGGGGATCTGTAGATACATCCAACAGTTTAATTTTACACCACTTTGATTCTTTGAAAGCATCATCTCCCCGCACCCTCATCTGGCTGGCTCTAATATCTTGCCTAGCATAGATAACCACACCTGTCTAGCAAGTTTCTTGGGAAGGGTTCATAGATGAGTCATATCCATCTACCGTACATTGAACTCTGTTACGACCCTTTGGCCTCATAGGGTTTAACAATCACAAATTCACCATAGGTCCAGGAATAGATCCCACCAAATTATCACCTCATTACTATGGGGTATGTTAAAATTCACGAAGATGATTTAATTAAAAATATTATATTAACAAACAAACATTAGAACAACAATAATACGATAAGATGTTTGGAAGTTGCTGAGTAAGACTGAAGGTCCAACATCATCACACAATATCAATATCAATCAACACAAATCACAATAGTCAAATGCCAACTCCCAAAACAAAAGAGAGAGAATATATTACTTAACTGAAAGACAGCTGTGCCTAGACTGACTACCGACTACCAGCTGGTCACCGATGTCACCTTTTACCGCCAAATTATGACGTAACATATCCTGATTGGCTAAGACAAAACTATATTTAAATTACCCTACTGACATTAATTCCACATATTTAACCCATGTACAAACCTAATGTAACAAAACAATACAATAAAACATAATACAATGTAATAAACAAAGTTAATACTTAAATATGGGCACAGTTGGTGTTGGCGAGTAGTGAGCGAAGCAGCCCAAGACACCCACACACCATCCGAAACAACGAATTTTATACAAAGAACAGAAACTAACTGCGGACACTCGTAAGAAACTCACATTCCTCTGGTTCGATTCTACTGTTTTTGTACAACAGTTCTACAACATCTACTATACTGGGTTGATATACCCTCAGTACTGATACAAACTCCGCTCTCTTGTCGAGGAATGTGTCAGTATTAGTTTATTACATGACTTTCAAGCCGGAAATTGTCCTCTGTAATGTCTCTGGTCTTGGTATTGTCTCCAGCCCTCCTCCATTCTCTGCAGTTGCCTCTAAATAATAATAATAATAATTAACGGTTTATTGAAAAAATTCTGCAGCCCGAAGGCTGAAAATATACATTGGACATAAATGACTTATTACATACATTGGTGGTTTAACAAAAGCCTTCATTAGAGAAAGGTAAAGGAACATACAGTGAACATACAGATTAATGTGGGTGTTGAACAGCAAACTCGTAGTGTAGTAACTCCCTCCCAGATGGTGTTATGAGGGGCCTCACGTGGTGTAGTAATTCCCTCACAGATGGTGTTATGAGGGACCTCACGTGGTATAGTAATTACCTCACAGATGGTGTTATGAGGGACCTCACATGGTGTAGTAATTACCTCACAGATGGTGTTATGAGGGGCCTCACGTGGTGTAGCAACTACCTCACAGATGGTGTTATGAGGGGCATCACGTGGTGTAGTAATTCCCTCACAGATGGTGTTATGAGGGGCCTGACGTGGTGTAGTAATTCCCTCACAGATGGTGTTATGAGGGACCTCAAGTGGTGTAGTAATTCCCTCACAGATGGTGTGATGAGGGACTTGATGTGGTGTAGTAATTCCCTCACATATGGTGTTATGAGGGACATGTGGTGTAGTAATTCCCTCACAGATGGTGTTATATGAGTGAGGTTTGGTCTTAGGCCTTCCTATCACAGACGGATTAACACATCGCTGGTTGTTGTTGGTGTCTCACGGGCCGTTATCACTGGGTACCTGGGATCTCACTGTGTGAAGGTTAACTTGTGTACGACTGTTACTGTTGAGTTGTTCTCACTGACTTAAGGACTGTTCACCACTGTTCACCTCAGTTTAACACTGGTTCCATTCCTTTCCTAAATGAAATTGTAACTTCTGGCGAGAACTTGTTGATATTCTGGTGGGGAGGAGGGTTCAGGGGAGGGGGTTGGTATGGACCAACTTAACAGTTGACCTGGCTACTCCGAGAGGAGCGCCAGGTACGTCTTGACCCTTCGGTGGCCACTTGTAATTTGTGGTCAGAGATGACATTGTTTACATGGCACTCATCTCTTCCTGGGTGGGAGGTAGAGCGGATGGCGGGTGTCCCGTTGTCCCCTGGTTCTGTGCTGGCGTTCTTGCTCCCACTACACACCCCTTGTATATAACCCAAGTACATCCATCCCAGCTCCTCATTGACTCCTCCTTCCTCTGCTTCATGGACTCCAGGAGTTTTTTGTGCTGTCCCCTCTGCACTACCGTGTGATCTGGGTTTTTGAATATACCCCAAAATGTATCGCTCTTTGCTAAGTTTTTTGCATGCCGAATAACTTCCCATTTCTTATCCTCACCCACTAGAGTGACCCTGAAGGGGTAGGGCTTGTCCTTCTGCCTTTGCAATAGCCTCCTTATGTCCTGAGAGGGAACTGATAATTTCAGAATCTCATCATTAATATTCTGAAATTTGAACTTGTTGTCTGTTTTCCTCATTTCAGCTTCCTCTGAACACACATCTTATTCAGTGTAATAATGAATAATTTTAGTCTGTTGTGAATAAAGGATAAGATATACATAGTACTGTACTATATTAACCTTAACTCTTTTTTGTCATTAATGTCTTCATCCATTGTTTTTCAGGTTGTGTACTTTGTCAACAGTGGCTCTGATGCTAATGACCTGGCGATGATGATGGCCAGACTCTACACCAAAAATTTTGATTTAGTTTCCCTTAGAAATTCTTATCATGGAGCATCTCCCTACACATCTGGGCTTACTGCCAGTAACACTTGGAAGTATAACTTTGCTAATGGTTTTGGAATTCATCATGTAAGTTAATCCTTCTTTTTTTTTTTTTTTTTTTTTTTACTGTATAGCCCTTCTGTGGGTACATAAATTGGTTTTACATATGTGTATAGGTTGTTATAGAAATATTCAACTTGCCCGATAAGTAACAGATGAATACTGAATGTTGCGAGAAAGAAGTTGGAGGTGACTAGCAAATATTAGTGGTAAATGTCACTGCAACTGTTCATTTCCATACAGTTTTCAAAATGTGTTGCTCTGGCCTGTGCTTTGTCTTATACAGTACATGGAAAATTTTGCAGAATATAAAATATCAAAGACCTGTCACTGCATGTTAAGTCACCATCAGCTGAAAATGCCACTTAGGGCTGAAAGATAATGTACTGTAGATATTGTACAGTATACTATACTGTATAGAGTTTCATTATTTATTTAGCATATTTATTGAATATATAAACTTTACATGCAAATATAAGCAGTCAATCTGCATTAATATTGTATTAACCAAACGTTGTATCCAGGCAGCAAATCCTGATCCCTATAACGGACTCTGGGGTGGCCACAGAGACTCTCCCGTGCAATCTGTTCGTGCCAGTGAGAGTGAGTTGGTAGATGGAGTATGTTCTTCAGCAGAGAAATATGTACGCCAACTGGAAGAAATTTGTATGTATTCTATCCCCAAAAAGAAGCTTGCAGGTTTCTTTGCAGAATCTATTCAGGTAAGACTGAGTTGCATCCTTGGGAATTATTTTACCATTAAAATGATGATATACAGTGGGGTATGCTATAATGAACGGATCCTACTACGAATATTCCTATAACGAACGGTTTTACCTATAAAATTGAGAATGCTATAACGAACGAAACTCCTACAACGAACATTATTTAAAATTTTTATTTTTTTTATTTTTTTACTAATTTATTGTTTTTTTATTACAAGTATTAATGATATTCTTTATTTCAGGGGTTTAGATGCATATTTATGCACTTTTTTACAATTTTTACAATTTTATTTTATATTTTTCAGTGTTAAGTGGTTGTATTTGGGGGCCTGGAACGGATTAATCCTATAACGAACGAATGCTATAACGAACAAGGTTCTAGAACCAATTAGATTCGTTATAGCACACCCCACTGTACTAACTGCAAAGCCAATGGTGTGTAATTTGTTGCTGATGCTTGGAAAATAACATTCGTCTTAAAACTTCCTTGTACAGTAATTTCAAAATATCTGGCTAATTGAACTGTATGTGTTTCTGATAACCTTCTATGTGTTGGTGAGAAACTTAAGGCTTTTATTGTCATGAGATACGATATATATACAGTTGGTCCTCATATTACGCGGTCCCGCATTCCGCGTTTCACCGTTAACGCGGTGCCTTGCCAGAACCTAACATTCTTACATTCCGTGGTCGCGAACGCCATTACGCGGAGAGTGTCCGGCGCGACGCTATTCTTAGATTTTCCCCACGCGCCACCCGCCCGCCTGCCTGCCTGCCTCTCCCTCCTCCTCCCTCCGCTTGGGCAAGCGGCGCGGTAAGGTTGCGCAGTGTGTGTCTTTGTTGCGTTATCACTGACGTCATATGACGTATCAGACCTGTGATTGGCCATGCATCCCTACCCTCCTCTGCTGCTAGCTGTAATTGGCTTAAAGTATTATGACGTGTCCACCCGGGGGAGGGAGGGAGGGAGGAAAGACGACGCTTGACCTAGCCGCGGCAGTTTCATCCCTCAAGGCCACTCCGTGTAAACGCGCATCCATTGTTCCGTAAAATGGCTTCCGCCGGACCACCACCCCCAGAGAAAAACCTTTCCTTACCTGGGGAAGCCCTGACAACTGTAAGTGACAGTGATGATGATTCACCTAGTAATGGTGATTCACCTGAGGGCCAGTAATCTGCCCTCTGCCTCGGAACCAGCCTCCATCCCCGTATGCCGACCCATCTCTTCTACTACCGTAAGTGTTACACAAAATTTTTAGTTTTCTAACCTAACCTTTATTTTTCCTATGTTAACCTTTATCTTTCCTAACCTAACCTCTTCTATATTACTTGTTTTTTCATACCATCATAAAGTTAAGATAAAATTTTTACTACAACATAGTTGTGTGTCGTCAAAAAGTGGAGTTTGGGGATCGGCCTGGACTCCATTTCAATTAATCCCATATGTTATGTTGTTCACTTTACGCGTTCCTCACTTTCCGCGGGACCCTCCGGGTTACATTAACCGCGTAATATGAGGACCAACTGTATATTTTTTTTTATAATATCTCAAGTCAAATTGAAGGTGTTTTTAAGATTTAAATTTGTCTATTTTACTGTATGTAGTTATGAAAGTTGTAAAGTTAATAAGATGAAAGAAAAGATTAATTTTCATAACCAGAATGAAGAATTGATCCTAATATCTTATATTCTAAAGGAGCCTGTAGCTATGGGAGTCTTAAAACAGCATACAATACTTTATACATGTAGTGTATCTTGTTTGGCATGTCTAAGTCATTGACCACACCTGTATATGGCAGAAGTTTAATTGGTTAATCTGTTTTGGACAATTTGATAGCCTTGTCCTCTCCATCACCTCGAGAGAGATATTGGTTTAAGCTGACTAACCATGAGATCAAGGGATATGGGAGGGTATTTCTGGACCAAATCTACATTTCTAGATTCTAATACAGCTCTCATAATTCAAAGCCAGCTAGACAAGGAGGAGGAGGTGTTGTCCAAGGCTCCAAGGAATAGACTGAGAAGACCTGTATTACTTATAGATATAGGTCAGGGAGGATACTTTAGACTGTGTTTCTCCTTGCCATACAGATACTGTATTTGGTGTCATCCAGGGACCTCTGGGAGAAGTCAGAGATATTCCCAGAGTTGTGAACCACTAAGAAATGGAACAATTGAAAAACAAAAATACAAAATACAAATAAACAAGTGAAACCTAATCTAACTTGGACCTAAACATAAATGGAGAAACTAAGAATCTCCAGAAAATCCAGACTTAAAACTTATGAATCAGAGGAAGGGACAGAGAACAATCTCTACCCATTTTCTGACACAGAACAGAGGAAAGTATTGTAAAAGGTTTTAAACAAAGTCAAAACAGGAGAGAGAATTAATTTCTGCTTGGCCAGAAGGGGGCCACTAATCATGTAATACCATGAAACATGTATAGCTTCTTTATTACAATAACACAAGTAGTCAGGAAAAGGGAGCAGAAAATTTGATCTACTCCCAAAAATCTTCAACTGAATGTACACTTACCCCAAGACAACACATTAAAAATTCCAACTGCTGTATTGATTTTGCTAAAAATGAGAATAATAACTCGGCTGCAAACTGAACGTATCTTATTTAATTTTCTATACAGTATTACCCTGCTTTACGCGTTTTTTTTTTATGCGCTTCCACGTTTACGCGGTACCCTGCCAGACCCGGAATGCTCACTTTACGCGGTGCATGTACTCTTTTACGCGGAGAGCGACGCGGGCAGGGTGCGCACAAGGTCACCCAGTCATCAAAACATTACCGAGTTCTTCACCCGCCACCCACCACAGCCGGCCCAAGTCGGTGATAGTGATAGTGAGGATATGGACTTATATGGACTTTGAGGGGTTTGACAAAGAGGCCCTGCAAGCCTCTGTGGTGGATAGTGATACAAGTGATACAGGTGAGGGCCAATAATCTTCCCTCTGCCTCGGAACCAACCCCCCATCCCCGTGTGCCCAGCCATCTTTTCTACTAATGTAAGTGTTAAAAAACCTAATATTATTGATATTTCTCTTAATTATTAATTGTGTGTGCATACCATCATAAAATTAAGAAGTTATTTTTACTACAACGTAGGTATTGTGTCTGAAAAAGTGGAGTTTGATGGTCGGCTCGGTCTCTATTTCAATTAATCCCATATATTATGTTGCTCACTTTGCGCGTTTCTCGCTTTACGCGGGCCTCCGTGGGTTCAATTGACCGTGTAAAGCGAGGGTTCATTGTATATAAAAAAAAAAGACCTGGACAACCTTTCTATTAAGATAGACAACTCAGGTATTGTCCTTAAAAAGCAAAATACTCCCATGACTGGACTCCACTCCATTTTGAGGATGACTAGTGGAACTAAAAGTTCCATAAAGTTAACGTGAAGGCTTTGATGTGTTGAATACAATGTCCCCTTCATTTTAGTTCCATTAGATATATGAAAGTGTGTGGAAGCATTTGAAGATAATCAAGCCATGTTCCTCCACCACCTGAAGACAGAGTACAGTAAAGCCTTTTTGAAAATGGAACTTTATACCTAAACTTAGCTTTCATAAGTGATTAAGCCAAATTACAACCAACCCCAGGAAGAGACCCTAGCTTCATGACAGGGGCTATAAAAACCACCATGCTAACAGCACTATCCCACTGCCAACAAGAACTGAACCTTTCTGAAAGAAATGAAGGAACTTTATGATAAAACAAATGAACCTTCTCAGAGAAGACTTTTCTGATACTAACTAGGGCAGAGGTCGGGGAACAGGGGTAAATTACCCCAAATGGGGTAAATCTAAAAAATTTTGGGGTAATGCATGCGGTATGAGAGACACTTCCATCAGAGCCTCAGTTAACTCGAGTTTACTCCGGATTGTTTTTGGCTTGTTTTTGTTTACTGTACTAGCCCCTCCCCCCCCCCCCAGAATTTTTTTTTAAATCTAACCAATATCATGGGCATTTTGAAGCCATATCCCCTGGATATTAGGAAATATTCCGAGGTCAATAGTAATTACTTTTTACTATACAAAAACCGCCCGAGTACAACACTGCAATAAAGAAAAAGTATTGGAATTTTCTGATGAAAAGGGGGGTCAGGACACCCCCCTCCCTTCTGTAGCTGCAAGGGTTTAAAAGATAAGATTGATCCTGGGAATTCCATTTATGACCAGGTTCTGGATGAGATACAGTATTCAGTTTACCTCCTTCCTCCTAATGTAAGCTGTGAAGTCAGCAGGAACTGAATCATACTGGTTTGGCCTTGTAGGTCATAATTTGACTGAGAGCAGTGGCAGATGTGTGTAGTATTACAAGTGATGTAATTATCACACCATATTAGCCTTTGACCCTGAGTGGTAACGCTCTTTCAAAGCTCCCCTTTAGGGTTATTACTTACTGAGAAGGGATAATCAATGGATTAAGGGCATCTGGGGGTAACCCAGCATATGTAGCAGGATATTAAATGAGTAACCAAGCCCAAACTTGTCATAAAATGGGATTTCCAGTATGTATCCATTATTTCTCGGTCATTGTTAAATCATTAAATTGTTATTTTTACCATTTCATCAAATCATAATTTATATAACAATACATTAGCCATGTTGACTGTTGGTTTCTTATTTCTGAAATATAATTATGAAATTTTATGGATCCTAAGGGAGTTGGAGGAACTGTGCAGTTTCCCTTAGGCTACTTGAAGAAAGCCTTTGAACTGGTGCGCTCCAATGGAGGAGTATGCATTTCTGATGAGGTAAGAATTGAAAGCTCACAGTCATTGATCTAAATAAAAGTATAGAAACAGTATGTGAGAAAATAAAATTTCTCTTGTAAATACTATATTGATACTTGATTTACATTTGGTAACTTGAAATTCAGTAAACAAATTCTGTGTACCCATAGGCTAAACCATAAATCCTTTTATTTCAGTTTGTTTAAATGTGTATCACTTTTGGAGCCAAGACTACTTTATCCCATGTATTTAAGGTTTTACTAGCTTCCATCCTTTAAAACTAAATTAGTGGTTGGTAGGTTTTTATATTTTCTGCTAATATCACTCACAGTTAAAGAGAAACAGGTTTGTCTGTATTTCTTCCCACATCTTAAAGAGTTTTTCTTGTTTCTCTCCAGTGTGTTGTAATGGACTGGTCCTTAACCAGTGACGTATGAACAATCTTTACTGTAGCCCATTATAAACTTTTTTTTCTTATACCTGTACAGTACTTCTGGCAAGGAAAAATACTTTGAGTTTCCCACCTTATTCTAGAATATTCATGAACAGACACTATAGATAATTTATGGACATTCATGGTGGATCAGCATTGCTTTGCATACTTGTAGAAAGCTTATGAATGAGCAGAGATAAATTCTAAAATAGGAACCTTGAATCTTAGGATTATATAATAACGGGAAGTATGTGAAAGTTTGCTGGAGGTAAAAAGGTTGCAGTGGAGATTAAATGAAGTTGGAAAAGTTCAAATTGCTTTAGTGGCATTGAATATTGCTCTATAAATATTCAGATGGTGAAAAGAATGAAGGAGGTGTAAGCATTCTTGTAAAAGAGGTATTAGACAGTTCTGTAAAGGTATATTAGTCAGTGTCAGATCGGGTTCTGTTTGGCAAGTTTAATGTTAAATCCAAGGACTTGACAATATTTCAGGTTTATGCCTCAACAAATGATAGTGAGGATGAAGTTTTAGATTTTTTTTAAAGATTTAAAGAAGACAAAAGAAGCTATGAAGTTCATTGAATATTTAGTTATAAAGGGTAGTTTTAATGCAGAGGTTGGGAAGGGAAAAAACACCAGAAGTAGGTCCACATGGATTGGGTATTAAAGATGAAATGGGAAAATGGTTAATTCACTTTTGTTAAGAAAACAAGATGTTTTCATTATCCAACAGCATGGATATCACCTGAGCATAATGAAAATGGTGTCAGGAATCAAATGTTTTACATGTGAAGAAAGATTCAGGAGCTCCGTAGCCTTTGTAGGACCCAGGTTCCAATTTCATTCTTCCATTCCATCCTCTGCCTTCCCACCCTCAATTGTAACCATGAATACCTTTACCCTCATTCATTCATCCCTAATTATATGGCCAAAGTTTTTAATTTTCCTTATTCTATCAATTTCAAGTATTTTTCTTTTTGCTGTTGCCAATAAGTACAGTACATTACTTATTTCTACAACTTGTCTTTAGCTTCCTATTGATGTCTGCTGAAAATATCCACAATTCTAAATTGTACTCTCTGTATACTGTACAGTATTGCATTTCAAGAGCTTTTTTTTTTTCAAAGTAAATTTATTACTTAATGATACAGTATGTATACTATGACTCACTTCCCTTTAAATATGTTAAATAATGTATTGAAATTATATTAAAAGATTATTTATATCAGAATATTGAGACCTCTACCAGTAAGTATTTTTGGATGATAGTTACATAAAACCTTGGTCGCCTCTTGTGTTTGAGGCTGGCTGGCCCTAAGGCCAGTTAGGCCTGAATTTAATTAAGTCTAAAATGTAGAAGATAATTAATACCTTTAACACAAGTCTTAAGATTTTTTTTGCCTTGAAAGTAATAATGTAACTGAACAGCATGTCTATAAAAAAAATCAGTGATAACCACAATTTTACACAAAATATAAATACTGTACTGGTAGATCAGCTTGTAAAAAAATTAATTGTTTAGTATTAAGGTTCTTCACATAGACAACACAGATATAACAATGATCTCACAGTTTTAGTGCCATGTTTCAGGTACAAACTGGATTTGGTCGTACAGGAGAGCATTTCTGGGGATTTGAGGGACATGACGTAATACCTGATATTGTGACCATGGCTAAAGGCATTGGTAATGGTTTCCCACTTGCTGCTGTTGTTACAACACCTGATATTGCCAAAACCATGACAGGAGCCTTACATTTCAACACCTTTGGTGGTAACCCAATTTCCTCAGCAGTTGGTCTATCTGTTCTAGAGGTAAGAGATAACACTTGTCTCCTTTTAATGAGAATCATGGTACAGTAACCAGTTATAAAAAGTTTTCCAGACTAGGAAAAAAAAAGTACAATAAACCTCACTGAAGAATGAGGTTACAAACAGTGGGGCCATGTTCTCTTCAAAACTGTTTTGTATCAAACTTAACTTTTAAGAAAAATAAGGATGCTTTCTTTGACCCCATAAACTTTTGCATACTCCAAAGAATATTGTTTAACAAAGGAAGAAAGGTTTTTAAATCTAAAAAATGATCACCTTATACTTCTACAACCACAAAAACAGTCAGCCCCTCCAAAACCCTTTAGCATGATTGATGACACACACACACACACACACACAAAAAAAAAACAAAAAAAAACAATGAAGCACAGTGAAGCTAAAGTTAAAACATCCATCAAATTTTGAATGAATGTGATATCCTTTTTAATCCAAAATTATCATCAGTGTTCTTTTCCAATCATAGACCTAAAGTAACCAGAAGCCAACTGTATCTAGAAATTGTCAGATGGGGGATTTCACATCTCAAGGGCATAATGGACTTTCATCTCTATATAGTTCATTAGATAGAGGTTTTCACATCTAACAGACCATTGATATAACAGACTTTCTTCTCCATATAGTCTGTTAAATAGAGGTTTCACTGAATGTCACTATATTGAGAAGTAAAAAGAAATATAGATTCAAGTTATAATATCTGGTGCATTTAATGTTTATAATCATGTTATAAGTTACTAATACTGTATTGTTGCAGGTAATAGAGGAAGAAAAGATACAACAGAACTCCTTAGAGGTGGGGACATATTTCCTGCAAAAGTTGGCTAAACTTCGGTAATTATTCACCTCACGATTACTTGCGTTGTTGTCTTTAGACGCTTAAGAGGAAAAGGTCTGCTTTAAGATATGTGCAATTCCAAAAATTTTACTAACATTACCAGTACAGTAAAAATACAAAAACTTAATTTGAGTGGAATGGCATAAGATACACTCTCATATATCATTGTAACTCAAGCCTGTAACAGTAATATGGGATATACTGTAGAATGAAAGCAATTCAGATCAGTTTTCTAAGATGTAGTGTGTATATGGTGTTCACAGAATTATAAGGGAGGAGAGGGAGGAGGTGAAGACAATGAATGGAACAGGTGATAAATGAAAATAAATGAATGACATAGTATACACTAATACAGAGCAAAAAATAAATAAAAATTACCAGTAAACAGGCAGAGAGTAAAATCATGCACTTGAGTAAGACGAGAGGGAATAAAGTTTGAGAAATGTCAAAAGTATACAGGTGGTAAGACAGAATAAGGAAATATGACTGACAGGTTCTCAATGGAGAGATCTATGAATATGTAAGAAATTTGTCCCAATTAAAAAATATACCTGTATATATACTAAGTACTGTTAGTGACAAAATTTATCAGTGAAAATTATATCCTGTTGAAGGAATCCATGAGTGTGTGTGTGATAAGAAATAATTAGTAAAATTCTTTCCAAATGCAGGGAAGACTATACAATAGTGGGCGATGTACGAGGAAAGGGCCTAATGATCGGCATAGAAATGGTACAAGATAAGACTAACCAAACGCCCCTCAATCCACAAACGATGATGGACATATGGGATGCTTGTAGAGATCTTGGTGTCATCCTAGGGAGAGGCGGCCTTTATGGAACTGTAAGTACTGTATTGTATGGTATTTTATTTTATTTTTTTTCATTTTGTGCGTTGGTGATACTAATGACGTAACAGCCACATGGCTAGGGTCACACAGTGCTGCAGTGCCTGCCTCCTGTCCTATGTGTGGCTGGTTTGATCCTGGGACATCTCACCCAATACATTGAACTTTACAGTCGGGGAGGTGAAGGAGTTCAGTGTGGTGCTGGTCAAGCTGCCTCCTAATGAACTGCACTGCACTTTGTTCCAACTCAGGAAATTTTTTACTTTCTTACATTTAGGAAATTTTGAATTTCTTACATTTTCTGCTTTTAAATTCCTTTGTTTGAATCAGTTTTACCTACATCCAGGTATTACAATATTTTTACTTTCTGGTTTAATTTTTTAACTTTATAATTTCCACCATTTTCAGTTTATTATCTATTCATTCAGTTGGTCCATTCTTTGGTATGCACATACAGGTTATGTTCTTTATTATGACCTTCACTGCCCAGTGTTAGGACAGGAGGAAACCGGAGTACAGTACTTGGAGAAAAACTACGATGTTTGGTAGGGTCACACTGGCTAAAATCCTTCTCACATCCACCCTGAGGATTGAATCCATGACGTAGTAATGAGAGTTAACTGGTTACTTCTGTGGCACCAACTTTCTTCTCCTTTTGAGTAGACAATGCTGGAGATGATAAGGCATCCATTGATTGTTTTATGGATGTCATAGGTAACACAGGTGCAGTTTTAGTCAGAAAAAGCTGAAGAATTTACAAGTTAGAGACTGAGTCACTGTATGTTTAAGGAATTTTTCTTGAATGTCCATATTATTCTGAGCATGGATCTGGTGACTCATGTACTGTCTTTAAGTCATATTAGCTGACCCCTTCTGTGACTGGGCTGTACTTCAAAATTCCATCAAGAAGAGAAACAGAATATCTGGTTTAACCTAGCCTTTATGAATAGAGTAGCTCAAATGAACCTGTTGCTCAGAGGTGAGTGAAAGCTCCTGTATGATACATGCACTATAAGACCCAAGAAGCATTTAACTGAAGGTCCCAGGTTCAACATCAATTTCCAGCTCAACAACATCTCTTGGGATGAATGAAGAGTCTAAAGTTACCCAACTCCAATATGCATTGTAAAATGTAATTTCATGATAAATCCTCCCTCATTTACAAATAATGTGGAACATCAAGCAACGAATGTACGAGGTCTGTCCAAAAAGAAACCAAACTTTTTAAAAAACAAATTTATTGCTTTACTTACAACTTAATCAGACTTGTTTCCTTCAAAGTACTCCCCTCCACTGTTGGTACACCACTCCCAACTTTTTTCCACTTCTGGAATGCGTTTTGAGGGATGGTGAGCAGGTCTCGTAGCGAATTTTCTTCTACTATCGTCTGAAATCGGCAGCCTTTCAGGGTGGATTTCAACCTTTGGAACAAAAAAAAAGTCCACAGGGGCCAAATCCAGAGAGTAGGGCGGCTGGGGGACGCTAGTCGTCTCGTGCTTCGCCAAAAAGTCACGGATAAGGAGCGACGCGTGAGCAGGTGCATTGTCATGGTGCAGCATCCAGGTCTTGTTTGTCCACACCTCAGGCCTCTTCCTTTGCACTGCCTCCCTCAAATGCTTCAGGACCTCCAAGTAAAACTATTTATTGACTGTCTGACCACATGGAACAAACTCATGATGAACGACGTCCTTCCAATCAAAAAAGACAATCAACATCACCTCAACATTTGAGCGACTCTGATGTCCAGATTTGGGATCGTCTGCAGTGGATGTTCTTCCTCTTTTGAAACGCTGGTACCACACGTGACATTGCGTATGGCTTAAACAATCCTCCCCATAAACCTGTTGCAACATATGAAAAGTCTCCTTAAAAGTTTTTCCCAATTTGAAACAGAATTTCACGCAAAAATGGTGCTTTTTCAAGATCCTTCATTGTTCAACTTGCAACAATTCGCCAAAAGTGCATTGAACGCATGTTCACTCTAGCGCGTGTAGCTCAATGACTAATTGACGTGGAGTGATGCGGCTAGTGTTAGACTAAAGGTAAAGGACACCGCTACACAGCGCTCCCGTCGCGAGCAATCTGCGCCGGCTCGTTAGCATGCTATTTAAAAAGTTTGGTTTCTTTTTGGACAGACCTCGTATACATAAGCAAGTTGGAAAGACAAAGGAAACTCTGCCCCAGTTGGTGGAATTGCATAAAGGCCTTTACTTTACAGTGGAGTCGTGGTAATTAGCGAAATACAAAATCACTTTCTCAAATTCATGGTTACCTCTATTACTAGGTCTTTTTTTTTCAGTAAAATATTCATAATTTGCAGCCAAGTGCAGGCTGCCATACTGTTTATTTACATAAGAAACTATAAAAGTTGTGGAAATATTATTTCAGTGCTCTAACGTGACTTAGAAATAAAGAAAATACTGTACTGTATAACATAAAACTATAAACTAAGAAAAAATAAAAATGCAATGTGAATTCTGTGTGCGAGAGGTAGGGTGGTGGACCGAGTGGAAAATTCCCTTTCTCCCTCCGCTCATCACTGTGTTGCTTTTAACACTGCATTATGCAAATTTCACCATAATTCCCACAATATTTAGGTTCATTTGGTGGCGGGTTAGTGAACCATTATCGTAAAATAATCGATTTTCCTGAGGAAAAAAAAAATCCCTTATTCAACCCCATAAGAGTTATTGTTGTACATTATTAAATTCCCAATTCATTGTTAATATAGTGCAAACAGCTAACCAGCCAGCCTGGTGTCACCTCTCCCATCCAGTGTCATGTTACCTGTCTCCGTGTTGACATACTGTATTGGCATAACCCAGAGGATGATTATAAGAAGGGAAGGATTTGTTTATGTAATACAAAACTACTATACCTGTACTATACTTTTTTGTACAATATCTATGCATTAATATATTTTTTTATGTATTATGGATTATATACTGTAATACATTGTACGATATTTAGTGTTTATTAATGCAGTTTTGGAACAGTTTGTACATATTTTTTGGCCTCCGGTACCTAATTATTTCCATTTAAATAAATTAAACTATAATTCACGATGTCTTCTGGTATCTACCCCACAAATTATCACAATAACACTGTACTTCATATATCTACATTGATCATTTGCACTTTTAAGAAAACTCTAAATTTTCATAAAATTTGTACAACTAATTTTTTTCTTCATTTCAGGTCTTTAGGATCAAACCTCCAATGTGTATTACACATGCAGATGTAGACTTCACTATAGCAGTATTGCAGCATGTATTGGATGAAACCACCAAGACGCTATAAATCTAACCCTTAATTGAACACACACACACACATGCATCTGCCTTTTATATTCATAATTTTTTTTTTTTTTGCAGGCATTAGCCCACTCAGGCACAAGGTCATTTTATGATCCACATCAACGCCTGGGGGGCAAAAATATAATAAAATAATAATAAAATTAATAACATTTAATATAAATTATAATAATAATAGTACAGTACTGTAATAATAAAGAGCCATAAATAAATACAAATATTAAAAAGTATATCAATACTGTAGTGAGAAATGATATACGGGGTATGTATGTTGTGTTGTCAATAGTGTGAGAAACAAGTGAGACCCTGCAATTGTGTGTAAATGAGGCAGAAAGTCAGATCAGCAACCTGGGACCTGGTCACAATTTTCGTGATGCCATGTGGCAGCAGGGTCTACCATTAGACATCACATTATGCTTCCAATATTTTCCCAGGCGGTAGCACCTCCCTGTTTGGTAGCTGCTTACTACCTACTAAAGGTTATTTTCTTTATATTGTACTTGTATTTGTAGTAGTAGCCTGTTATGACTTTGGATGACTTGATGGCATTGTTATAGAGCAATAAAGGACTCTTTTTAAAAATTTTATTTTGCCTCCATCTGTAAATGTTTCCTGATTATCTATTTGTATAAATTTATTATTTATTAAATATATTTTTATACAGAAGAATTCCAAATAAGGGGTCTGGCCAAAACCATCTTAACAGCATTGTAGGCCCTGGGCAAAGCAATGTCCTGGTGCCCCTACCCACCCACCCACTCAAATTAAAACTAAAACTTTCAGTAAAATTAAACATATAATTAATTGGTACGTTGAATAACACAAACGTTTAAACATATAATTACAGTGGTCCCTCGGTTAATGAGCACAATCCGTTCCAGCATGTTGCTCGTTAACCGAAAAACTCGTTAACCGAAACCATTGTTTCAATGGGTTTTTGGGTAATTGGTTTCAGCTCACCGAAAATTGCCTAACTTCAACAAAAAATGTAGAAAAGTACACTTACTTTGAGGTGTGTATGTAGAAGGCTCCTGGATGATGATTATGATGATGATGGGAATTAGAATGGGGGTGGAGGAGAAGGGAGAAGAGAAGGCATTGGGATGGAAGAGAAGTCACCCCATGGTGCCATTTCACCCATAAAATTTTAGTTCTCTTGGTGTAATTCAAGATTATTTTCTTTAAATCAACACTGCACTGCATTATATATTGTCAATATGTAAAATAAATTTCAAAATGACCAATAATTTGCTTGCAAACACAGAAAAAAAGCATATAAGTTAAGAGTGTCTCAAGCAAGATGTTACCTCCACTGAAAAGATAGAGAGACTAGCGCCTGTTTGCCGTGTTGCCAGGCTGGATGGCGCGCATGGAACTAGTTTCCTTACCTTCAATTATGTTCAATAATTGTTAAAATGACAAAAAAAATTAATATTAAACTTTTAAAATTATTGAATAGTATAAACTTCTTGATATTTACTAAAATAGTAAGGAATTTAAGCCCGCCAAATGCAAGCAAAAACATGTTGAGGTCGGATCGTAAAAAACTCGTTAATCGAGGGATTGCTCGTTAACCGAAGTTAAGATTCTTACGGAAGGTAACTCGTTAACCGAAATCTCGTTAACCGAGGCGCTCGTTAACAGAGGGATCACTGTAATTGGTAAAGCAAGAATTAATCAACACAAATGTTGAATACAAACATTTAAACATATTGGTAGAGCAAGAATTATTCAACACAAACGTTTGCGACATGGTGAATTGTTCTGTAATGGCTTAGTAAATTTTCTATTTTTCTTCCAATGGATACAAGGTTCTTCAATTTTTTATGTTTTTAAATCTAGATTATCCTCTGAGATTCGGTGGTGGACTTCGACAGGCCCAGCAACCTCATGTACTTCATAAGGTGCCTCATCGATTTCGTCATTAATTTAGTAGTGGCGTGCTCTATTCACGGGGCCCTGGGCAACTGCCCAACGTGCCCATGCGTTAAGACAGTTCTGGGTCTGACACTGTCCACATCGCTTATAAGCCACACAGTCCAGCCTCTAAATTCCCAACCAGCAACTTCACTGTATCCATCTCTCCCTCACCTCCCGAAGCATACGAATCAGGAGATTAATCGGTGGTCAGCCAAGGTGTGAACTCAGTGCCTACCTTCATACACATTAGCATGGACAGATTTTAGGAACAGTAAGAAAATATACTTCTTAAGTTATTTATCCTTGCTAATGTGTTCGAGGGTAAGTGTTAACTTTATATCTTGGCTGACCACCAATTAATTGCTGGTTTGTGTGTTTCTGGAGGTGAGGAGGGGATGGACCCAATGAAGTTGCCAGTTAGGAATTTCAAGGTCAAGAACAAACCTGATGACCTAAATTAGTATGTCTAGTGAAATATTATGTAGTGTTGTAAAGCAATGTGGATATCATAAGATTTCCAGTGTATACTACAGTACATATGAGCAGGTATGTATGGATATGTTTACTTGGCAATCTAGTCCTTTCCTGTGTATACTATTTTTTTGTTTTGCAGTTCTGATAATCAAGTTATAATTTGCATATAGGTGTACAAGTATTGAAGGCTAAGAGTATAAATTTAGCTTACTGATATTTGCATAAGTTCATATTTAATTGTTGTTATATAAATAAGAAACCAGAAGAAATATTGATAAAATACTTTAATCAGAATGTTTTCCTTACTGTTTTTAAACTAAGTTGTCTTGACTTTCCCAAACTGTACAACCATTGGCTTATCATTAAGAATAAAGCCATTAGTATCCTCCAAGGCTTCACTGGCTTGTTTTACCGATGGGAATGCTACAAAGGCTTGTCCCTTCATGCGTCCTTCTTTCATGAGACGTATAGAGAACCTGTAAAATAATTTGACATGTAATTTTCTGCATCGCATAAATCCTTCATTCAGATCCGACAACCTGCACCTGACATGTGTCTCTACAATGTTATGACCTCACAGATGATAAGAGACCAAAAAGAAGGAAATCTACATCGGCGTCAATATTTGACAGACAAGACTAAATTCTGCCAATCTCCAGAACAAAAGAAGATTCCAGTACCTTCCAAAAATCTCTGTACTGTATGTGTATACTGTACATGTACTCAGGATTTTGGGGGTTTTTACCATTGTAAGCTGAAATGATAAATTCAACTGATGTCTGGGCTGGTTTAAATTGCTTCTGGAAAAAAAATTATTAGCTACACCTCACTTAATTTTTAAAGGTCTGCACTATATTCATTTGAACTCTCAGAAGTGATGTATATTGTCCTTACTGTGCTTATTATAATTCCCATGGTGTTTATAGCAAATGCCATAATTTAGGATCAACCATCATTGGGCAAAAAACCACACATCATGTAGACTGAACCTAACTTGTGTGATAACATCTAATAATGCAGTACTTTGCTAATTAAACCTGATGTATCACAAAGTGGCAAGGCACTGAGATTTTGTATCAAGTAAGCACCCAAGAAAGAACTAGTCTGGTGCATCTGCTTTGATTGGCAACCAGCTATGAATTGAATTTCAAGATAGCAGAGTGACCTTGAAATTAAAGTGGCTAGTACCCTAAGCACTAAAAGTAAAGATTCATCAGAAATGGATTAAAAAAAAACCTTCTACCTCACGAGGGCAACTGTTACACCTCATCTCCCCATTTAGGCAATGAATTTAATGGAGAGAGGAGGGTGACTGGTATTCCCAAAATGAGTTAACAAATCAACCCTGAATACCCTCCAGTACAGTACTGCAGGAACCACCTAGCTGAAGGGTGTACAGTATGCTAAATATCTTGCATACTAATTTTCACATCAGATACAGTACAGAACAGAATAACAAAAATAATCTATTTGGTCAGTGTTACTTTCTTTTAGTGAACATGGGCAGTTAATGTTTTGGTGAATATTTCAGAGGAATGAACATAGTACTGTACAGTATTTCTACCTACTTTTAAATCTTTAGCTCTTATATCTCTTGAAATCCTTGATATTCTACATTTAAAGGTAGAATTTTTTTTATAGAGATATTCTTTAATGTCAATACAGTACTGTATCACTTTTTGTAACCAGAATTATTTACTCGTACCAAAGCCTAACTTTAGTGATAAAAAGTGTACTTACGCACTAGCTTCTTCATCATTTTGCCAAAATATGTAACGACCATATACATATTTCAAATTTTCTTCACTGGTTGTTTTAGCTAAATTCTTGATATAAAGTTTAGTTGAGGGTTCACCGGGTTTGTAGTTTTTGAACACTGTTAGCAGAGGCCAGTCTGTGAAGGAAAAAATTTGATGAAATATAGGGGACTGATCCTGAAATTCCATTTTATAATTAACCCTAGACAGAACAATATGCAAATAAACCTACTGAAGGCTCTGGGTTTAGAAACTCTGGGAAGCCATAACCCACAATTGCCGAGGCTTAATGCAGACATCATCCCTGCAACAACACTAGCTAGCCCTTAGAAAGGTATGTGAATAAGTTGCAGTTGCCTGAAGAATAGAAACTAATAAGTAATATTTTCGTAATTGTCACACAACCCATACTAATTTGTTGAGGTTTGGATATAAAGTGGGACATAAGACCACCTCACCTTTGGTTCAGGTAGAAGAAGCCAGTGTGCACAAATCCCACTTCCATACTGCCATTGTAAACAAATTACAAGAGGGAGACTAAACATTAGCAATAAACTGTCTTCTGGTTTATTCCCAGCTATCTGCTACCCAGAAATGTAGTTCATAAATACATTCACAGAATACTGTAACATCATTTTCTGATAATGTCAGCTCTGGTTATTGAAGAAAGCAACTAAGGTGATGGATTATCAGGAACTGGGTGTCCCTACTCAACCTAAAACCTTGCAATATATTACCCTCTGACACATCCACCAGAAGAAGAAAATGGAACTCTCTAACTCACAGGACCCCTGAAAGTTACTACTAGAGTTCAACCTTAGGTGCAACAACTGGTGAGAGGTATGTTGCAGGTGTATGAGGTTTTGTGGCATTATGAGATTTTTTCTGTGGGGTTTCCTCAGTGTAATGTACTTTTTAAGACAGATTGACAATGCTCCACAATGTTATATTAGGATGGAAGAAAGACAACATGCCAACCATCATCACTCATTTTTGGCCATTTTGCACACTTACAAGGTAAGGAGAGAAAAATATTCAAGTAAAAATAGGTAGAAAAGATCATTCTACGACCATTACAAAGCTAATAAGTTTGGATATCTTACCTGCTTTATTCACCAAGTTGTCTTGTAACTCTTCTTTGGTTATATATTTTGATGACTCCCTCTCCCATTCAACTAAGTCATCTGTTGTCTTCTTAGTGTTCACAGAAGACTCTATCTTTCCAAATCCTCCTCCCGTTTGAAGAGAAATTTCCTCTAGTTTCTCTGCTTGTGGTAGAACTGTTCCCTCAAGGTTCAGCTGTAGTTTTTTTGGTCCCTGACTTTGGTTGAACTCAAATACATCCTGCACTGAGGCTGGTTCACAAGACCGGGGATGCGAGACACAACTATGCTTTAACAGTGACAGTTTAGGCTTTTTGTTAATGGCATTTTTGGGCTTGAGTTTCCTTCTAATGGGTAATGATGCTTTCTGTTGTCTATTAATAAAATCATCGACATCACTTTCCAATTCAGACTCGGTTTCTGTTGTCTCATGATGACTGGCTATTTTATTATCTTCCTCGTCATTATCACCTTCAGTGAAATTTACCTTTTCTTTATTTGCATTCTTGTCTTGTTCATTTAAATGTGATTCTACTTCACTAGTCTTTTTATAATAACCCATCAAGTTCAGAACTTTTGCATAGACTGGAGGAAGGTTCACAACAGATCCAAAAGGAGTTGGGAGATTCATCTTGTTCATAAGATGTAAGACTTGTGTATAAAACTTGGGAACAGCTACGAGTGTTTGAGCAATGTTGGCAATGACACAGGGTGATGGTGGAGGATACAAATACCTGAAATATGGTGACTTATAAAAATATCTGAAATTTGGTGACATTTCAATATCAATAATGAAATTTTACAAGATAAACACACACAGCAAAACACTATTAAACTTTTCATCAGTACGCCTGTAGGTCAGAATATGGAAAAGATATTTAATGATGTTTTAAAGTAAAAAATTGTCAAACCTTAAATTTGGAGGTATAGGATGATTGACCCCTACATTTGGTCCCACTGCACACAACTGGGCTTCAAACTCACACATTTTTTTTCTTATTTTCTCTTTCCTACTTGGCTCTTTAGTCTTAGTCTCCTCCATGGATCTAAGAAAAGAAACACAAGGTACAATACCATACATGTATACATCAAATACTTTACTCTGTATTATATTAATTATCAAATGTTCATAGCAATCATAATAGCAACTTTCTTTGTTGATCTTGCTGTTTCTTATATAAAATAATTACCTGCTACTTCTACTATAAGAAATGTACCTTCAACTGTAGAATACAAGTACTATGCTTGGTAAGTGAAGTAGTCTCCAGTAAACTCTTTTGATGGGGGATTGTCCCAGTGACGGTGAACTTGAAGAAACACATATATTCTTTGTCAAGGCTCAAATTGCATTTAATTAGTGCCGCTCTAAATAAGATTTTATTTCTATGAATTACTTCAGTATGATTTTCACTGATACTCATGATTCTGTTACCAGACAATAATTTTCCACTTCTGAACTTTGTAATGAAGAGAAAGTTAGAAACTGATGAATTTCCTAATCAGCCTTTCTGCATTGAAGTGAGTTAACCCATTAGTAATATCCTTTACAACTATCACAATTCTGCTTTACTTAATACTGTACTGTGCAATGTAAGGGAAGGCAAATGTTGACTAGTAATGATAAATTAATCATACAGTTTTGCACAGTATGTGTAAAATTTATCAGACTTTTTCTTGGGTACAGTTATCCCTCATTATATGAACGTTCAAGATACAAAAATTTACTTATACAAATTTCCATAATCATCTCTTCTTTTTTGTGTTATGGAAGCTTCCCCAGCTTACATGAATTTGGGTCCTGGCAAAAGTTAAAACTGCACCCCCCCCCCTCCCCCCCCCAGGAGTAAGCTGGAACAACCATCTTGGAGAAATATTCAGACATATTCTCGCTCACTGATCATAGCAACCCCCTTCCTCCCACAAGCCATTGTGTGTGAAGAGATTTCTCTTTATCTGTGTGTATTCGTGCCGTCCTATCACCATGGCATCCAAGCGTTCCACTGAACCTTCAGCTACCCGTACTACACTGAAGAAAATATGGAAGACTGTGACTCTTTGAGACAGCAGTAATGAGGTGCACAGCCCTCCTCATCTCACTGAGTAAGGCTCTTACTCAGCCCATCCTTCCTCACCCCCTTGTGGTTAGCCCTGACTGCCCTACCATAAGGTAATCATGGTAAGGTACCAAAGTCATACAGCATTTTTATTAATGTGTAAGGTAGTAAATTACAGTAGTTGTTGTGCTATTTATCATGAGTTTGGTAAATTTTGTTGTTGTTTGTAAACTGATTTCATGATGGGGTTTTCTTGTCATTGGGGAACCAAATCCTATTTTTCCCATGTGTTCTTATATACACTATATAAAAGTTCACATAATGAATGTTTTTGCAGGAACCTAACCCATTCATACAGCAAGGGATACCTCTCATTATAAAAAATTTGGTAAGGTGTTGCTTTATAAATAAGCATTCAGTCATACAGTATTTAGATGTAAGGGAAAAATACGAGGTCAAGATATAATGAAGGTCTGTATAATTAAATAAGGAATGTTATTATACTGCAAGACACTCAGATATCTCCATGAACTTATTCTGTTCATTAATTTTAAAGCAGAACCTTTAATCTTTACACCCTCAGGACTAATGAGTGTTATTCCTCCACCATACCTGTGGGGCTGCTCTTGGTATGGACCCACTGAAGAATCCTTGTAGATTGCCATAAGTCTTTTCCCCAATACATCCAGTTGGTGTAGCTTCTGGAGTGCATATTGGCAATCTTCCTCTCTTCTGAAACTGAAATTTTAATATGGATTTATTTTCAATGTCATCCACAAGGGAATGTTTAACGCATAACACCTCCCAGAACACACACACACACACACACACACTTTAACAGGCACCATGTACAGTATAGTGAAACGATAAACAAATTATATCATTTTTCTTAATTACTACAATAATTATAATTTTTTTTTTCATTTTCGCTCACATACAAAATGCTGTTGCTACATACTATCTACAGCCACTGGTTTGACCTAAGCTGACATACATTTCATCCTCAGTAACATTTTCACCAACTCTTAAATCAATCCCATAGTAATTGTCACATCTTTGGCATTATCATCACAAAGGGCAAATGGAATCACACAACATCTGTAATATTCTAAGAACATTTAGTAAGAACCCACAATACCTAAGATAGTTATTGATGTTGCCTCCTAATGTTGTAGTAACAGTTAATGTTTGCTTGAAATTATATTATGAACAGTACAGTATGTGTAAACCTGGATTTCAGAAAAGAAAATCAAATAACTTCAAGATGTATTCATGACATTTCACAAAAAAAAATATATATTGAGAGTCATAGTTGCATAAATTCTAATTATAAATGTACAAACCTACCTAGCAACTGAAGCTGCATTTCGACCATTAAGAACATGTTTAACGGTCACGGCTCCAAAATGTTTCAACAAATCTTCTTTGTCCTTGTTAGTAAGAGTCTTTTCAAAGGACCAAACACGTAGAGCATTTGGCATCTTGGGTGTAATCTCAAATCTGAAATGATAAATATTTATGAAAATTTCACCCCTGTCCAAATTTCTGAGAAAAGATATTACACTTTAATTGCTAAAACTGTGTCAACCTACAAATCAATCAAGATCACATAAAACTAAAATTTGGGTAATATTTTACTTGTTGCCACTAAATGAATCTTGAGAATTTTATAGTTGCAGTCAGTAGTTTTGACAATTCTAAGACACTTTTCTTCAATGGTATTTCTGGTGCAAATTACGTTTAAGCGAGATATTTAACATTTTATTATGTATGTTCGTACATGGTGGTACACACCCAAAACATCAAACGACGTAGCAGTAAACACGTAAAATATCGAATCATAGGTTAGGTTAGGGGTCTGTTTTCCCGATGGCTTTCGATATGCTTTGAACACATTTTACCTTGATTTTTATAGTAAATCTCTAGATCCTGAGATGCGGTGGGGGGCTAATCTCAGAAACTATTGATTTGCGCCAGAAATGAAGGTCAAATTCGTTCCTAACACATCAAAATCCATCGGAAAAACAGTTTCAACTTCAATTTCGTATAGTGGCTTTAAGAGAAATTTTATAAAAATTTCAATATGAAGACAACATTCAATCATGCACTGCATATTATGTAATCCTTCACCGAATGACTCTACATTTCCTGTTCAGTTTCATTACCAAGAGTGAAATGTGGTTAAGTAGGTTAGGAGTAACAGTTAACAAGGGTCCGTGTCAGCTAGCTACCTAACGAAAAGTCTATATAGTAGAAATCTCATTTTTTACCTTAATAATACCTATAAAGCAAATCAAACGAAGGAATAGCACTTTTTGCATTCAGGTTTTCCCTAGTTTTCCAATAAATAAAGACACTGCAAACTGTCCATTTCACGCTGCTGCAGTGCTTTTGTGTCACTGATGACAAGCCCTTCATCGCGACAAATGTTTCATAACCTTCCTTCCTTTCCATAAGAACCTATTTACTCAAACTTAACATAACTTAACCTAAAATAATAATACCAGTATAGTTGCATCCTAGGATAAGTAGGTTTTGTTGGCTCATCTCATTTTATCTATGATAAAGTATAATACAGTACAGTAAAAGTGAAATGAAATTATAATATTGTTTTATAAATATGAAAGAGATTGGAGTTACATGATATAAAAAAGATAAAAGGATAAAGAGATAGAAAAGATCTCTGCAGAGCAGCTCACCACAGACGACAGACTCACTTCTGTAATATTTATAACTTGCTGTACTTATCTCCTCATCTGATATACAACAAATAGAAGCTTCTGCTGGGTGGCTGCTGCTTCTTCAAATTCCAGAATCTTTGTTTATATTTTTACCTAAATATTACAACCAGAAGTGAAACTGTGAGAGAAAAATAACATAAAGGGAGATCCAGCAGAGTCGTCTAGCGGCTGAAAGTACAAATGAAGGAAAAATCTCTGCTTTGTCTTTTTTTGTAAGTGTGGGATGGATCAAGTGGTATACAGAAACCACAAAGAACCTGGAAAATTATAGGAGAATGGTTCAAGAGAATCTAAACAAGTATAGAAAGCGACAAAACAGGGCTAAGCTAACAATCAGAATTATTCACGGTTAATATTAGGAAATGGTCGACCACGGATCTTCATATTTATATTTATATAGGAGATAAAGAAAAAAAATTATTGCGTTTTCGTCGCAAATTTATCTTTTACAAGTACTGTATTGTGGTGTTACCGATTTCACACAAGATCTTAACATTATGGCAGGAGACACCGTTTAAGCGAAATGTTCCGCCAATTACCGTGAGTCTCGAGGGCCAGCTGGCTATTTGTCCCACAAATCCTCCGAGTTTTGAATTTTATAAATGGCTACTCTTCTGCATGGGTATTCTTTCTCAACTTGGCAAATCAATCATCGTGTATTTGAAAACGAAGCCGCTGCCATTGGCATTTTTAAGATTCATGGTATTCTACCAATGTCTGCGAAGTGCAACAGGCTTTCATACACAAAATATGTTAACATCCTTACTAATTTTTTCCTCCACGAGAGGAATTTTACCCTCCCTCCCGGCCCATTAATATTTGCTACTAATGACAATCACAAGGTTAACTACTGCTACAAATTACCATATAGTAGTTAATAGTTTGGTTAATTAGACAGGTAAACTAAGAAATGCCCAACATCTTGCCTTTGAACACCTTTCATGAATAAAGTTAAAGGTGATTGATTTTCTGTAGTCTGCCTAAAATATTAAACCACACAATATACCGGACATGTAGAGTCTGTTAGTAACTTTGATTTAGTCGTGGTCTGGGTTGGCCGTCCTGAGACAACACACACTTCTTGGTAAACTCAGTCCGTTATAGTACTGGGACGGAATATAAGGAATGGCCTTAACAGGTGTGTGTGTGTGTGTGTGTATGTCCTTATTTGGATTTTTGTGTGTGTGTGGGGGCTCGCTCCCACAGATACTTCAAAATGTCGTAAATGGTAACTACGTCAATCAAAATGTAAAATCCCAGTAAAAGTGACTGAATTAAGGTAGTAATAATGTCGGGAAGTGTACGATAATTCACATTTGAAAATTTGTCAACACTGCGACGATTGCTTATACAGACTCTTTTGATTAATTAAAGTTATTAAAGTAACGATTGAAAACTAGTATCTCAAATTTCCTATTTAATTAAAGCGGAAATTGTTTTAGATTTTTTAGATTTAGAATTTTTTATGAAGGAAGGAGGGGGGTGTAGCGATGAGGACCAACTGCTATGGGCGGCGTGATCCTAAGAAGGTTATGAACCACTGCTCCAGCAAGACTAGGGTCAGTAGGCGGTCATACCCAGTGCTGTCCTCCTAGTACCGGTGTGAAGGTTAACGAAAGCTTATAGACAAACCAATAGCCGGTGAGGTGAAGATACTGAAATTGACGAGGACTGCAGAATATTATCAAGTATTTGTCAGTGTAGTAAAGTGTTTGTAAGTGTCGTGAAGTGCTTGCAAGTGTCACAAGGTGCTTAAAAGTGTCTCAAAGTGGTCTTATGTTTCAATAAGTGATTTTAAGTGCCGTAAAATTTTCATAAGTATTGTTAAGTGATCACATGTATCATAACATGTTTGTAAGTAACGTAAAGTGTTTATGTTATAAAGTGTTTGTGTTATGAAGTGTTATAAGTGATGTGAAGTGTTTGTGTCATGAAGACATGTGTCAAAAAGTAATAGTGGGTGCCAAAAACACCCATACTTGTCATAAGAGTGTGGTATAAGGTGGCATAAGGTGTTAAGAGTGCCATACAAGTGTCACGTTACGTTACAATGATTCCTGTAATACCCAAAAGTTTTACAAAGTGCTTTTAAGTGCCAGTAGGTATGATAAAGTGCCATTACGTTTAATGAGTGTGGTAAGATATGGTGCACAACGTAAAGGTGCTATGGCGTTGTCAGAGGTGTCATGAAATGTCCTAAGGTGTCATGAAATGTCCTAAGGTGTCATAAGTGTCCCAAATTGTCAGTGGTCTAAAGTGTCTTAAAGTGTCAATACTCTAAAGTGCCGTAAAAAGCAATATAGTTTATGTGTTAGTGTTATAGAGTGGCATAAAGTGTCATAAAGTCTCGAATATTTAGTGTCCAAGCAACATACAATAGTGTCATACGGTGTCGCAGTGTCATAAGGTGCTGTTAAGGGTCGTAAAGTGTTCAATAAAGTACCATTAATGAATTAAAGTCTCGTAAAGTGTCATTAATGTAGTGAAGTGTTGCTAAGTGTCTTGAACTATCGTAAGGTGTAAAATGTGTCAAGGAGTACAGAAAGATGTCAACTGCCATGGGGAGCTACCAGCACAAGGTAACTACTAATAATACTACTGTTGTGTTCTTGACATATTGAACAAGTACTTTTAGTCATCCATTTGGCCTAAACTCATGCTTAAAGGCGCTGGTTCTGCCTTAGTGGTTCCTGTAAGTTAAGTGTGAGTATCATATAGGTGTGTGTGTGGGGGTATACAGCAGGTAATATCAACTTTATTTTTTCTTTTCTTTTTCCAGGTAAGTGTAAGTTAAAGCAGCCCTTCGTGGGACACCAACACACCATATCTCAGGTACGTCCAAGTTAAAGGAACGTTACGCTTTTCCCCTTAATCTTTGAGGACGTTGGTGTCCCTCCCTTATCAATGAGATAGTGTGATGCCCCTCACGTCTGACACCACTCTTTATCCTTACACCGTCTTTGTGGTCGCCTGTAGTCCCGTTGCTGTCTATATGAAAGTCTTTCCTTCACTCACGTCGTGTATGAGGGTGCGCAATCCTCCCCCTCCCACACCCTTCCCGTCAGAGCTTGACCTCTTCCATTCAAGTGGGTACAGTGATCACACTCACCTGTTTTAGAGGCATCCGTATCTCCTGGAAAGATCTTGCTACACCGAGGTAAAGTGACCCTCACCATGCTGTCATGGTTTCATTATCTTGCTTTATAGGCTAATAGTCTGTGTTGTAGAGGCGTCAAGTCCTCTCTATTAGCTGTTGATTCGACAAACTGGTTCCAGCCCTAATTGGTAACAAGAAAAGACTAACAACCTAACCAAACCACTGGGACTGGAGCTTAGTAATAACAGGTTCCAATGCCAGTAAGTACTAATTCCAATGGATCCCAATTTTAATGGGCTCCAACCGTAATGCCCAAGGGGCAAAAAGGATTAATTATAATTTTATAGTTTGCCCCGCGAGGGGGCTCATTTATTGGGCACCCCCTTGCATCCTGTGCGAGGTGAAGCGCAAAAGCGTTTGCAGCGCCCAACTGGGAAGCATGCGTAGTTCATGCTTGCCTTCATGACTCATGCATTAAGGGCGTAAAAGCCTGAAGATCATGGGTTTTGTCAGCAAGTTACATAAAGTGACAGGATAATGAGTGTGTGTGGGGGGAAAATTCCCGGTACAATTCATCTGTTTATGGCAAAGCGTGGCAGGTCCCTAATAATGTCAAGTACCAGGCCTGTCTCTAGGAGGAGGGATATCTGTTCAGGGAGGGAAGAGGTGTTGGTAACGGCTGGGGACCTGACGGAGGCGGTCATAGGGCAAGTGAGGATGTAGTGAGAGAGGGTGTGAGAGTCGGGTTGACCACAAAGTTTACGAATAGTACTGCCAGGCTCAGGGTTGCCAATGTACTCCCATAGGTACCATTATCCTATTGGCGCAGTCTCATGGACACAATCTGTTGGGATCGGGTCAGAGATTGATACTCTTTGTAGTGCGGTTGTCGTCACCGGTTCGTCATAGTGTGCTGGGGCTAGGCAGTGGAGTGGAGGATTACTTTTGACCGCGACTGTATGTCTGACTGGGAATGAAAATGGTGTATAGTGTGACCGCTGTGGCACTAAACCGTTGTTTTAGGTGTGTCCAGTGTTCGTCGAATGCTTCTCGTTGAGCAGCATGTATGCGAGATTTGAGATGATTTAGGGAGAGGACGAGGGTGGCTTCAATGTGTCGCTTCTTTGGCAAACCGATCAACAGTGTCACAGGCAATTCCTATAATTATGTGACGGGATCCAAATAAACTTGACACGGGTGTCATCTGTTTGTTCTAGCCCGGCGGCGGCGGCTAGGGTGTGTTGGGCGGCAGGGGAGGAGGGGGAGGGTAATTTGAGCCTTGCAAGCGCAGAAATGCTGTCACTGATTATAGATTAGATTAGATTGGTCAGGAGGGGGCTAGTTTATTGGGCACCCCCTTACATCCTGTGCAAGGTGAAGCGCAGAAGCGTTTACAGTGCCCATCTGGGCACTGTAAGTTCAGCTAAGTTCATGCTTGCCTTTATGACTCATGCATTAAGAGCGTAAAAGCCTGAAGGGTCATAGGTTTTGTCAGCAAGTTACAAAAAGTGATAGAATGATGAGTGTGTGGGGGGAAAGTTCCCGGTACATTTCATCTGTTTATGGCAAAGCGTGGTAGGTCCCTTATAATGTCAAGTACCAGGCCTGTCACTAGGAGGAGGGATATCTGGTCAGGGAGGGAGGAGATGTTGGTAAGTATTATTATTTTTTTTTATTGGGCACTCCCCTACATCCTGTGTAAGGTGAAGCGCAGAAGCGTTTACAGCGCCCAGCAGGGAAGCATGCTAAGTTCATGCTTGCCTTTATGTCTCATGAGTTAAGGGCGTAGAAGCCTGAAGAGTCCATGGCTTATGTCATCAAGTTATTGGAAGCTCCAACAACTTTCCCTGAATACGAACTCGCAACTTTCGACTTAAAACAGATACCTACATTACTGCTAGGTGAACAGGGACCAATGAGGGCTAGGGAGTATGTCCAAACAACTTTTCCACCGGCCTGGGAATCGACCCCATGACATCTCGCTTGCGAGGCAAGAGCGGTACCGTTCCACCATCGGCGCCCCCGGTGGTGGTAACGGCTGGGGACCTGCAGGAGGAGGTCATAGGGCAAGTGAAGATGTTGTGACGGAGGGTGTGGGAGTCGGGTTGGCCACAGTTTGCAAACAGTGCGGCCAGGCTCA